GAGGGAGAGGGAGAGGGAGAGGGAGAAGGAGAGGGAGAGAGGGAGAAGGAGAGAGTGGGAGGGAGGGAGGGTCCTCCTGCTGTTTCCAGAGGGGCTGCCATCCCGCAGGCACCCGCCCCCCCATCTCTGTGGGGAGCCCCCGCCCCATGTTGGGAAGAGGCTGGGCTGAGGCCGCCCAGCTGCAGAGCTCAGCTTGCTCCCCTGCCCTGGGGACCCCCCTCCCCTCTCAGGGGCAGCACCTGGCCCCTCCCAGCAGCAACTGCTGCTCCCAGAGCTGCTCCACAGCTATAAAAAGCATCAGTCCGGCAACAATGGGCGCCATGATGGCAGAAACAACACCTCCTGCCAGCTGCCTCCAGGGGCGTCCCTGGGGAGACGTGGTGCCCGCCTCCGCACCCCCATACCCCCGGGAGATTTAGGGGCCTCCGCAGCTCCCTGCAGGAAGGGCGGCAGTTGTGAGGGAGCCCCGGGATGCGTGTCCTAGAGGTGGGGGCTGAGGTCTTGGCATTTGCCCTCTGAGTGTCCTTGTCCTGGGGGCCCTGCAGGGGAGGGCAGCCTGGGGGTGAGGGTGACACTGGGCGCCCCTGAGCAGATCCTGAGGTAGGCAGAGCAGAGGCCTGGGGGAGGCCTGCATGCGGGGCTGCAGAGACCCCATCTCTGGGGGTCACAGTGTGGGGAGACCTCTGTCCTTTGTCCTTATCCCAACCCTGCAGACACAGTCCTCCTGGGACCGTCCAGCAAGCCAGTCGGGTCACACGGCTTCCACCACTGCCACTTCACCTTGCTGCTCCAGTCCCGCTGGGCCCCCAGGGGACACCCGACCCACGCGCCCCACTGGCACCAGGCAGCGTGTCGCCGCCCTGCAACAAGGCTTCCCTGCAGCACCACTTCCCACCCACGCACACCTGGCCTCTGCCATGGGCACTGCAGGGCAGCACATCACACACCACATGCACACACACACACACACACCACACACCACACACCGCACGCCACACACATCACATACCCCACACACACTACACATGCACACACACCACACACCATACACCACACACATCACATACCCCACACACACACTACACATGCACACACACCACACATCACACACTACACACATCAAACACCCCACACATTCTACACATGCACACACACACCACACATCACACACCACACACATCACATACCACCCCACACACTACACATGCACACACACCAGACACACCACATGCCACACACATCTCACACCTTCCACACACATTACACATGCACATGCATACACCACACACATCACACATCACATACCCCACACATACTACACATGCACACACACCATACTCCACACACATCACATACCGCACACACACCAGACACACCGCACGCCACACACATATCACACCTTCCACATACACTACACATGCACACACCACACACAACATGCCACACGCCACACACATCACATACCCCACACACATTACACATGCACGCACACCATACACCACATGCCACATGCCACACACATCACATACCCCACACACACATTACACATGCACACACACCACACACCACACACATCACACACACCACGCATTCACCACACACCACACATACACACTCACCACACACTACACACAGTCACACACTCACCATACCCCACACACACTCACCACACATCCACTACACCCACACCACACACACTGCATATACCACACACCACTCCCATACCACCCACTCACCACACACACACCACACACTACACACACCATATATTTCCCACACCTTCCATACCATATACCACACACACTACACATACCACACACTACCCACATACCACCCACTCACCACACACACCACACAATACACACACTATACATTTCCCACACTCCCCTACCATACACCACACATACCACAGACCACACACATTGCAGCACACACCACACATACCTCACACATCATATACACACACCATACACCATACACACACCACACCACAGACCATGCACATACCACATACCACACACATACCACATATCACACACACCACACACACATACACAGATACCACACTACACATGCACCACACACCATACAATGCACTACACTACACTACACTACACACAGCACTATGCCATGTACCTCACCACACCACACCACACACCTGGCTTTCCAGGCATGCCATGTGTATATTCTTGTGGGGGCAAAGTGCTGTGTCCCCCCACAATCACCGAAACCCAAACTTCCAAAGGCCATGGTATGAGGAGGTGAGACTCAGGGCGACTCTCCCATAACGAATGGGCTTCTGTCCCTTAAAAGAACCTCCTGAGAGAACCCGTGTCCTTGCAGTGCGGAGGTCCCCCTGCAGCCTCGGGCACTGGCCTCAGGCTTTCAGACCCCAGAATGGAGCAAGCAAGAAAGACTGTTTGCCAGCTCTGGTGTGTGGAGGCAGCAGCCCGGGTGACAGGCACACAACACGCGCATCGCACACCACACACCACACACATACCACCCACCCACCACACACACCACACACTACATACACCATACACACACCCCACACCTCTCATACCATACACCACACGCCACAGACCACACCCCACACTCACCACACACACCACACACACACAAGACACACAAACACACACACCATACACCATACACACCATTGACAGACCCGACCAAGTGGATGGACAATGGGCAATGAGGTGACTGGAAGGAAGGAAGGGTGACGAAGTGGAGAAGCATGGATAGATGCATGGGAAACTCAGTTGAGTGAACTTTCTGGGCCTCCTCCTGCCCCCTCTCCTCAGCCTCTTTCTCCCCTTTCTCAGATGTCCTGTTCTCTGGGCCCCAGCTACCCGAAGCACTCTGTAGGCCTGCCCCAGGTCGGGTTGGGGCTGGGGGCACTGCAAGCCTCTCCCCTTTGCTGGCTGTCTTTGGGGCAGCCTGGGGTCCCTCAGGCCCAGTGCTCAGCACTTTCATGTCACCGCGACTGTCCAAGGACCCATCACTGCTGCTTGTTACCAAGAGGGATCAGGGGGAGCCCGGGAGTGTCAGTCATGTGCTCCTGGTGGCAGGATCTTGACTAAGAGCTGATCAAGCCCAGGTCAGTTCTGTCATTTTAGGCTCTGTGCCAACTGGCCACTTCTCTCCAACCTGCTAACTGGTGGAGATTATTTGCTGTCAATCCCCTTCTTTGGATAATCTGTAGTTGGATAATCATATTCATTCACTCAGTTAAATTTCCCATGCATCTATCCATGAGCCTCCACCTGGTCACCCTTTCTTCCTTCCACTCATCTAGTTGCCCATTATCCATCCATTTGGTCAGCTTTGTCAATTCACCTATATAATCACGTCCAACAGCCATCATCCACCTGCCCATTTGCTCACCAAACCATCTATTCATTCATCTCCTCAGCTGCCCATCTAGTCATCTACCCATCCACTCAGTTATCCAGCCCTCTGTCTGTTTGTCTGGATGACTGGCAATCAATTATCTGTCCACCTATTCATTCACCCACCCTCTGTCCATCCCCCCATCCACTCTCCATCCATCCATTCACCCACCCACCCTCTGTCCATCCATTCACCCACCCACCCTCTGTCCATCCATTCACCCTCAAGGTCCATCCATCCATCCATCCATCCATCCATCCATCCATCCATCCACTCACCCACCCTTGTCTCTCCATCCATCCATTCACCCTCTGACCATCCATTCACCCACCCACCCTCTTTCCATCCATCCACCCACCTATACTTTATCCATACATCCATTCACCCACCCATCCTTGTCTTTCCATTCATCCACCCACCTTCTGTCCATCCATCCATACCTTCGTCAACCCACCCTCTGTCCATTTCTCCATCCATTCATTCCTTCACCCTGTCCATCCATCCATCCATCCATCCATCCATCCATCCATCCATCCACCCCCTCTCTGTACCCTTCCAACCATCCCACCCAATAGAGTTAAGCATGGAGGATACTGGACTCTAGGGTGAATATGCTTGAGCTTCAGAACTTGATGGGTCATGGCCTCTGCCCTCTGGAGCTCACCGTCCAGTCTGGGAAGACAGATGACCTGAGCCCCAAAGTCCTTCCATCCTGACTCTGGGAGTCTGAACCGGAACCAGGCTCTTGCTGTGAGCATGACACAGATGCTTGTGGTGTGATTGAAAGACACTGTTCCTTCACCTGGGGACCCCAGAGGTGTGGGCAGTCCCACGCACCCACTCAGCCAATGGCCTGATTCCCTCTCTCATGTCGAAGCTCCTGCTCTGAGATTGCTCAGGGCAGAGTCAGGATAAGCAGGAGACCCCCTGTAGACCCCTCTAGACGTGGGGGTGACTCAGCACCCTGCCCCGTGAAAAATCACTGAGCTGAGGAGAGGGTGGCAATAGCTTCAAATTCTCCTTCCTCTGAATTCTTGGTCTCCCCTTTCCAAACTCCTCACCCCTTTCGCCTCCCCTCTCCATCTCTCTCTGTTCTCTCTCCCTCTCTCCTCTCTCCTCCCTGCTTCCTCCTCCTCACTCACCTTCTCCTGTTTGATGTTTCCCTCTAACATGGTGGCACACTCAGAGTTTAAATTCTGGGCCTCCAGGGTGGGTCGTTGGACAAGTCATGGCGATTTGCAGCCAGCCCACTTTCCTTCCCTCGAACCATGGTGCCAGATGGAGCTTGTCCCACGCCCAGTCTGCCAGAGCGGCTCCCTCGGTCTCCCTTCCTCTCCGCTGCCTCCATGCCCAGATTTCCCTTCCAGCCTTTCTCCCTTCGGGACTGCCAGAACGGGTTGAACCATGTGTTTCTGTCCCAGTTCTCCCCCACAAACTCAACAGCTCCCGGCAAAATCACGCTAGAGGCCCACGATCTGCCATACTGGGCTGGCTCCTGGAGCCTGTCCCTCCACCCCTCCCCACCCAGGCTCTTGCTGGTGGGAAGCTGAGGATTGGAGGCCCCTTGAGGTCCCACCCTCCCAGAGAGAACCTGTCCTGCTCACCGATGTGTCCTCTGAGCACGAGGCGATGATGTTATCCATGAAGGGGTTCCACTTGATGTCCAGTACGTTTCCCTGATGGCCGCAGACCTTGGGGTAATTGGGTTCAATCCTGCCTGTCTACGAGAAAGAGAGAGAGAGGGGGGAGGGGGAGGTCAGTTCAAAGGCCTCAGGACACCCTGAAAGGTTTCCAGTCTGGATTGGAAAGTCTGTGACCCCATCAATGCCTTATTCATCTTCAGGTGCCTGTATCAGGCGGGGCCAGCTGAATCACTCCATGGTTAGGTGCACTCCTAAGCTGAATGATACGAGGGGGTGGGGTGAGGGGTGACTCCTGATACACAAGACACTTCATATGTGGGGAGTAGAGGTGCTCAGGGCTGACTCCTGACTCTGCACTTGGGGATCACTCATGGTGAGGCTCAGGGAACCCTGTGTGGTACCGAGGATCGAACCCAAGTTAGCTGCATACAAAGTCAACATCCTACCCCCATTCTACCTCCCCACACATGACCCCTGGACAAGGTTTTTTAAAATAGAGAATGATCAGATGTGATGACGGTGCCCGTGGTGTGGACAGTTAGCTAGTGGTAGTTAGCTAGTCCAACCATGGACGGTGACCCCAGAACTGTACATACATACAAGCATACAACTTCGTGGGGCCACCTTTAAGAGAATGATCCCCAGCCCCGCATCTATCAGCTCCAATTTTTCTGATTGATAGGATCAGTTACACATACAGTTTTTGTTTGAAAGACAAATTTCATGACTGTAAAGAGGAGTTTGAAAAGCACGGTACAGTAGAGGCATCTACAATACATGCACATTTAAAATACAATGTTGGGGTCGGAGCCATAGTACCACGGAGAAGGTGCTTGCCTTGTGTGCAGTCAACCTGGGTTCGATCCCCGAGACCCCTTATGGTCCTCTGAGCATGGCCAGGAGTGATTCCTAAGTGCAGAACCAGAAGTAACTCCTGAGCATTGCCAGGTGTGGCCAAAGACCAAAACAAACTAACAAACCAACCAATATTTAACTTCAGGGAAAATGAAAGCAATGGTGCTAGAACATAATATTCCTAAAACTTAACTGTCTATAACTTTGTATATCACAGTACTTAAAATAAATTTTAAAGAAATGGTAAAAATTTTTAAAAAGCAATGGTAATGATTGAGGTACAGTATTTATGGAGTCATAATAATGTAGCTCATATATACATTTGATTTGGGGGCCCTAATCTGGTGGTTTTCAGGTCTTACTCATGGTTCTATGCTTAGGGATCATTCCTGGTGGTACTCGGGAGACCACAGGGAGTGCCAGGGACTATACCCGGTTTGGCCTCATGCAAGGCCAGTACCTTCCTTCTATCTCTCCATCTCCTCACCCTCCCTCTCTTTTAAAAGACAGAATTGGGGGCTGAAGCAACAACACAGCTGGTAAGGTGTTTGCCTTGCACGCAGTCAACCCAGATTTGATTCCAGCATCCCATATGGTCCCCTGAGAACCACCAGGAGTAATTCCTGAGTGCATGAGCCAGGAGTGACCTCTGTGCATCACTGGGTGTGACAAAAAAAGAAAAAAAAAGACAGAATTGGACGTGCTCGGACACAGACCTCCTTATGGGCTGGGAAGTATGAGATAGGCCTACCTGCCCCTGCCCGATTTGAGAGGTTTATAGGCTTGAAGACAACTATTCCATGCTGAGCATCCCCACAATGGTTCATAAGAATTGCAGAAACATTCAGAACTGTTAGTAGAAGAGTCACCATATAATAAATGTTCTTCCATGGGTGTTGTCCGAATGAGCTCCCACATGCCAATATAAAGGAATATTATAAAGTCATTTAAATAATGCTTTCAAGCAATATTTAATGACCTTGGAATTGCTCACAATTTAATGTTTAGTGAAACAGTCAGAACTGAGTTATATACATGAAATTATCCTCATTATTAAAAACACATAGTCTGGAAGAAAATACATCACAGCATTAATTACGGTCATATCTGGCTAATTGGATATGGTATCAGTGGTTTCAAATTCTTCCACATGGAGCGATGTCACAGTGGGTAGGGCATTTGCCTTCCACGTGGCCTATGTTGCTGACCCGAGTTCGATTCCTCTGCCCCTCTCAGAAAACCCAGCAAGCTACCGAGAGTATCTCGCCCGCGTGGCAAAGCCTGGCAAGCTACCCGTGACATAGTCGATACGCCAAACACAGTAACAACAAAGTCTCACACTGGATACATTACTGGGCCCGCTCAAGCAAATTGATGAACAACGGGAGGACAGTGACAGTGACAGTGAAAGTTTGAAATTTTTTTTAAAAGACCACTGTCACACTGTCCTCCCATTGTTCATCGATTTGCTCGAGCGGGCCCAGTAACGTCTCCATTTTGAGACTTGTAGTTACTGTGTTTGGCATATTGAAAACGTCACAGGTAGCTTGCCAGGCATTGGCGTGCGTGTGAGATACTCTCAGTAGCCTGCCAGGTTCTCCGGAAGGGGTGGGGTAATCGAACCTGGCTTGGCCGGGCTGGCTGCGTGCAAAGCAAATGCTCTACCGCTGTGCTATCACTCCACTTTCAATTTTATTAAACACGCAGAAGTGCATGTGCACATGCACACACACATACACACACACACAGGCACGCATGCACGCACGTGCACTTCTAGCTTGGCTGCAGTAACAATCCTCTCTGGGGTTGACCAAACAGGCCTGGAAGGGATGAGCTACAGACTGGCATCTTCCACAGCTCCATGTTCCAGAGGCTTCAGCAGAACCTGAATGTTTGCTCATACTGACCTTGATGATAGAAGAACATCCCACATGCACACATACACACACCGCACACGCACACATGCATACATGCACACACTCCCAGGCACACAAGAATTCCCCCACATGCTCCCACATATATTCTACTCCCCCATGCTTCCTACCATAGGGATGATTTGGGGGGAAATGCCATCCATGAAACTAACTGAGTGGTTTGAGTGTGTGTGGGTGTGTGGATGTGGGATAGTGTGTGATAGTTTGTGTAATAGTACGTGTGTCTGTGTGTGTGCGCGCATGTGTGTGTACATGTGTGGGAGTGTGTATATGTGTGGGGGGTGTGCATGTTTGGGAATGTGGAAGGTATGTGTGAGAGTGTGTGTGTTGTGTGTGCTTGTAAAAGTATGCATGTGCAGGAGTGCATGTGTGGGAGTGTGTGTGTGTGTGTATATGTTGGGGGTATGTGTGGGAGTGTGTGGGGGTGTGCGTGTGAACATGTGTGTGCATGTGTGTGTGTGTGGTGGGAGTGTGTGTAGGTACCTGGGAAGTGCTTGTGGGGCATGGAAGTGTGTGCATGTATGCATGTGTCATGTGTGAGGTGCATGTGTGTGCATGTGGGGTGTTGGGTTCTCACACATGTGCTGTGCACTTGGGGCACCTGTGGAGGGCAGAGCTCCCCTGGGGGCCGGGTGCAGAGAGGTGGGGCGCTGGGCCCTGCTCCAGGCTTATCTGCACCCGGTGAGCTGACCGGGAACATGATATTTCCAAAACAACCTGCACTGCAGCTTCAGCTTCTGAGAAGTTGCTGTAAAGTGGAATTTTGTACACAGAAGCAAAATATTTCCTTACCTGGGGGATCAGCTTAGTGAGGCAGAACGGACAGACGCTGGGAGAGGCAAGTCTCTGGGCCAGATCCGGCCCGCGCTGTGTGCCCTTGAGCAGGGCCCAGCTCTCCGGGCCCCCTGCTTCCTAACCTGAGCTAGCACCTTCTGCTTCTCTGGGGCCGAGCGTGTCTGGGCCGACATTCTGTATTAGAGCACGGGACCCCAGTTCCAACGGCCATGAACAGAAAACGCTATTGAGAGCCCAGCCAGTAAACGCACCCGGAGTGCTGAGCCATCATAGACATTCTTCTGTTCTGGGGCATGGGGTCATTTCCCACGGAGCAGGGGGTGGGCATGCAATGCCGGGAACTGGACTTGGGCCCTCACACCTGCCAGGCAGAGTGCCCCGAGCCACAATCCCAGCCTCACATCGACTATTCTCTTTGATTCTTGCAACAGCCCCCATGAAGTTTCATAAAATCTGTCCACCCTGTTGGCAACAACCCATTTTTACGGATAAGCAAACTGAGCCCTGGAGACAACTGAGATGTGAGGTACACGTGGGCAAGGCATTGATAGTTAGAGTCACATCATTATAAATTAGGAGTAGGCCCTGACATTCTCATGAGGGTCCCCAGAGACTGGCCTGAAGATGCTCTTGGTTCCCCCCTTATCCCTGCTCCCTGCCTCCTGCCTCCCTACAGCTCCTAAACTTTGCTCTCTCTCTCTCTCTCTCTCTCTCTCTCTCTCTCTCTCTCTCTATATATATATATATATATATATATATATAGGTGGTGCTCAGGGCTCTGAGCTCAGGAACAAGTTGCTACAGTGCTTGGGGCCCAGACAGGGCCAGTGATCGAACCCAGGGATCCCACATACAAAACCTGTGCCCCAACCCTTGACACCAACTCCTGGCCCTTTCCAGAAATGGGGCTTTGCTCCCTTTCTGCATTCTCTGGCAGTTTTGAAAATCTCCGCGACTAGGCACAGCCTGTACTGATTTCATATCTGGGAAGAGGGAACAAATATCAACATCTCTTCAAGGTTCTTCAAATGTTCTTATTAGTTTGGTTTTCTTGGGGAGGGGGGCGGGATTGTATTTTGTTTGGAGAGGGGTGGTCACACCCTGTGGTGCGCATTCAGGACTGACCCCTGATTCTGCACTCAGGGATTACTTCAGGCCAGGCTCAGGGACCTGATGGAGTGTTGGGGATCAAACCCGGATCAAATGTGCAAGGCAGGTGCCCTCCCCACTGCACTGTCCCTGGCGCCCCAAATGATGTAAAGTAGGAAGAGACTCAGCCAACCTGGCACTGATGGCCGGGAGCTCATGTGGGCCGAGGCTCTGGGGACCATTGTGGAAAGGGAGCATCTCACGGTCTTAACCACAGAGACCTTCATCTGAAACTGGGGTCCCACACACACATAAGCCCCCACCTCCCCAAACAGCCCTGGCAGGCAAGCTCATGTCCAGATCACTCTGTCTAGGCCCCTGGACAGCCCCTCTATTCCTCCCACC